CCGCGGTGACGTCAGAAGTGGTCATTACTGGATTTACATCTACGACTTCCACAAGGATGAGTGGAGAGTCTACAACGACGAGAATGTAGATCAAGTTGAGCAGGAGAGCGTAGTGCTCGACAAGGAGGAAGCACACCGCCCGAAGGTCAGCACAGGTGTCGTGTACATAAGAGCCGATCTTGTGGACGACTATACCGAGGCCGTGTGCCGCCAGCCTGAGAAGACCGAGGAGGATACCCAGAAGGATATTGAGATGAAGGATGTTACTTTCGACGACGATTCTAACGATGAGATGCCCGCGTTGGAGCCGGTAGACTTGAAGGATGTGCCTGTCATCGACGGAGTGGAGAAGGAGTAAGCTCTCTTCTATTCTGAGCCCCTGCTCCTATCTTCCTCTTTCCAAGTTACCGGTTGCTGATTAGACTCTTCTATTAGCATTACTCCTCCGGCAAAGAGAAAGGGGGTTCGATTGGAGTCTCCGCCCAAGAGGGGCAAAAACTATGAAGGCTTTGGACAGACCGATGAACCGGATGTGGGCCCGCGATGTGCGAGCCGACTTGAGCTACGTTGAGCGTATGCTGTGATACCGAGGAGTCGTGCTGGCAAGCATCTTGGTATCGGTAATGGGGCATGAATAGAATACGGGTAATGCATAACGATGAGTTCGAACTCATATGGGGAATTCTCGTGATATCATACATCTATGTGATACATCCGTCGTCTTACTTGAATTGAGAAGCTCACACAGCCTGCCTCTTCCTCCCACCGCCCCTACGCCAATTCCACAGCGCCTCCTGAGCAAACGTGCGTGCAGTCAGATGACCCCTCTCCTTATTCGCCTCTTCCGTCAACGTCTCAATCACCCGCCCTTCTTCAACGCACTGCCAAAGTCCGCCTGCAATGGCACTGCCAACATCCTCTTCCACCCACTCCTCTCCATCCTCGTCTTCCTCCACCTCTGGGTTCTTGGCTACCTTAGCCGGCCCATCAGTCGTTTGCTCCGTGCTCTCAACCCCGAATTCTCCTCTCCCTAATCTGTATAGGATACGACCCAGGGTTTGGTATGCGATGCACCGTTGACTCGCGACTTTACTCCGCGCCGTAACTGCGAGTTCAGGGATCGTGTAGCCTGCTGCCTCGGGAGCCTCGGCATGATGGTGGAGGCCCAGGTCGGTAGGTATAGATCGTGCGACGCTGGGTGCTAGCAAGTTGCCCGAGAAGTCGAAGCGCAGTTCGGCGGGGTTCAAGGCGGTTTGCGAGGGGTGGTAGGGCGATTTTGTGTCGGATGGGTCGATGGGCGACATCCATGATAGTGAGGAGGGGTCGTAGGGTAGCGTAGGGAAGTATTTCTCGTGTAGATTCTTCAGGAATGAGGGGTCGTTTGGGTCGAGGTCGGGTGGTTGTGGGGGTTGTGGGAAGTGTATTGAGTCGTTCGTATCGGGCATGGCTGTCGTTGTGGTGTTGTCGTCTGACGGGGGTTGCGCGGTGGGTATTGAGGTCGAGGCGGGCTGTGACGGCGCTTCGTTTTCGGGTTCTGGTGCTGCGAAGGAGACTTTCTTCGTGCTTGAAGTCTTTGGCTGAGGTTCTGGCTTGGCTTCGTCAGTCGCCGGGGTCGTTGTAGCAGCTGCTGCTGGCGGCTCTGTATCAAAGTCCTGCTCGTTGCTCCCTTGGTCAATGTTGGACCGCATGAGCAGCTTCTGCAGCAATGCTGGATTGAGACTTGACATGAGCTCTTGTCGCTCTTGCTCGATCTCCGCATCTGACATGGCTGCCAGCGTCTGCCTGTTCTCCTCATCTATTGCCCTTCTCTCCTCGTCCCTGTCCACACCGAATGCGCTCCGCGGCTTAGGCGCATCCTGCGTCGTTGCCGGTGCTTTCGGTGGCGCGGTAGCTTGTTGTTCCTTTGCGGCGCGTTGCTGTTTAAAGGCCGATACTCTCGGTACGCGTTTCTTGTGCGCCGGAAAACCATTCACATTCGGTTTGAACGAGGGCGCGACTGGGGGATTAGCTGGTGATGATTCGCGCTCTTGGATGTCGCCCACGAAAGTGGGGAACGACGGCATGGGGAGCTCATGCTGTTCTTCCTGATCCAGTTTCTCGACTGCGCCGGTATCGAAGTTTAAGTTTACGCGCTCTCCTCTTTGGAACTCCATGTTGACGGTAACGTGGTGGTGTTGAGGCGGCGCAAATGTTCCTCCTCGAAACTTTGGACTGCCGCTGGACCCTTGTACGCGGGGCGGCTGCTAGCGTGTTCTGATGGCCTTGCCTCGGGGCTTCTTCGATGTTCACGCGCGGGACTGAGCCTCCTACCCCACCACACTTCAAGCAGCAATGCCACGCATACATGCAGCAGATAGCATGAGAATCGCTATGAACTTTCGACATAATAAGGGCGCGTTTCCCTATTGTAGACGTCGTGATTATTACGCCGCCTCTGCCGAAACAACATCATGAACGCCATTGCCTCTGCACGCGATATCGACCTTCCAAGGGAGTCGAGAGCTCCTCCTTTTTGCATGCAATGCAAGAATTTGGCATCTCGCCTTACTGTCCCAGTCGGAGTGTGCAATGAGAGGCTAGCTGTCAGGAACGGGTCCGAGTGCCCGCTGTGTCTGTTCTTTGCTGCTATACTACACGGAAAGTGTTCGTCATCTACCGTTAGGAAATCAGCACGTTTTCGGCTTTTCGACTATCAAGGCCCGTCAACAGTTGGAGGACCTCGCGATCTCTCATTCCGGAACTACTACGTCCAATCAGAGGATTCTACTGTATCCCGCTTCATTCTCCCAGAGTCCGGACATGAGAACCTGCGATTCCGTACACTACCGAAGAACCTCATTGACTATCCTTTGCTACGAAAGTGGATTACGCACTGCAAGACCTACCACGGAGATGCATGTTCCCATCACGGCAAGACTTCTCAGCTGTGGGCTCCAGGAAGAACTGCACTCAAAGTCATCGACTGCAGGTCATTCAAGATAGTCGTGGCATCTCCAGGTGCGGAGTATGTTGCACTTAGCTACGTATGGGGTAAACCGACAGCTTCCAGCAAACACGACAGTGTCCTTAGCTGTGGCACTGCTGCGGAGAGCTTGATGAACCTGCCAGAAACGATCAAGGATGCAATGAAGGTCACCCTTAAGCTTGGCTACCGATATCTGTGGTGCGACAAGTGCGTAGGATTCATGTCAGAAAAATATCTGGAACATATGCTGACCATGACCGCCAAGGTATTGTTTTGACCAGCAGTCGGATCCGCATCAACTACAAAGCCAGCTATCTATGATGGCTATGATCTATTCTGCGGCAGCAGTGACCATCGTTGCTGCAGCTGGTGATCACTCGGATCATGGACTACCCGTTGTTGGTGGTCGAAGTCGGACTACGCCTCCTTCCATTCACTTGAATGGCACGACGTGGGTAGCAGGGCTAGACGACTTCAAAACACCCATTCGCGAATCACCTTGGTCCCAAAGAGCTTGGTGAGTTACCTTGTCTATACGTGTTCATCAGTACTGACCATGAACTCTTACCGTGCAGGACGTATCAAGAGGAGTTTTACTCACGCCTACAGCTCATCTTCACTGAGGAACAGGTTATCTTTGAGTGCAACACAATGAGCTGTTTCGAATCAGTCACCACGGAGAAGTCATCTGGTTCAACAGGTTTGTTTAGCGGGGGGAGCAGTGCCTATACACGAAGCACTTGGGATGATCCTTTCCGCGAGCATATCGTGCGCTATACGAAACGAGCATTGAGCTATCAATCGGACGTGCTAAACGCAATGCGTGGCCTCTTTCAGTCGTTCTCTACGCAAGACAACCCGTCTTATCAGTATTGGGGCATACCGTATACCATGACTGCCTGCACCGAGATCCAATCCAGGTCCAGGATGTGGTCTCATCTTTGGGCTCATGGGGCTCAGTTGGATGATGTAAAACATCAGCTCAATGCTGCGTTTTGCCGGGAACTATGCTGGGTCGTCAATCCGGAAACATCCACGAAAATTATCCGGCGAAAAGGCTTTCCTAGCTGGTCTTGGGCGGGCTGGATTGCTCCTGTTCTGTGGCCATGCACATCCCCGTTGACCTGGGACAATATACTACCAGTGGAACTCCATGTAGTGAAGTTCGATGGAACAGATGAACCTCTGACGGAAGAATTGGTGAAGACGGCTTTCGAGAATGACAGTGATCTTGCGCTCGATTACACTTATCAGTTGCGCATAGTTGCTGAACTTCTCTACCTTCGATTCGCCTACATTCCAACGAAACGGCGTCGGCATTCGCACATTTTTGATCGTCCAACCAGTACATACAAAGACGCAATGTACGCAGCACGCGGTACTATTGAAATGATCTCCGGCTATGGCGAGCGCAGTTTCGAGGATCATGAATGGCTATTGGATGTCACGAGTGATGTTGACGATGAGCTGCATTACTCGCTCTGCAATCACCTATTCGAGGGCATAGTCATATGCAAAGACTATGTTCTGGTTACACGTACTAGAGACGGAATGACGGAGCGCATAGGGGTCATGTCTGTCCGCAGCGTAGAATCAGGCGAAAGAACCGAGCTACACCCTCGCCTGTGCTTTCCCGGTAGTCGCCGAGATATCATTTTGGGATGATGAGCTTATCGAGAAGAATTCTCAGCTGAAAGTATTCCCAATCACATCTGTGTGTTCTTCTTTTTCATCAACGCCACTATCTAGTGTGACGCGTACTTTGGGTGTAGCTTGAAGCGCCACCCTTTTCCCAAGAAGACAATCTACATCTTCTTTAGGCACGCTGCATGCAGAGTGTGCAACATTAAAAGAAGAAGCACACTACCCAACCAGCATCTGTTCTTAGGGTTTCAAGGCCGCCAACTTACCCCACATGCCCCACATGTGGCTACTGAGACTAGTAAACTATAACGACATATAAGTAGTTATAGATGCCGAATAAGTTGCTCAAGAAACGCAGGTTCGGAACGAGGGTATCTGTAACACCACAATCATGGCGTCCTCCAGCGAGAACTATCCACGAGGACCATACGAGGTCGGCAAGCACATCGTTCCTCCTCCACGGCCAAGCTCGCCATCAACTGCCGAGTACCGCCTCAATCATCTCATGACCCGTATCAAAGACCCGGAGAAGAGTTTGAAGTTCTACTGTGACTGCCTGGGCATGCACGTTGTTTTCATCTTCAATGCTGGTCCATTTACCATTTACTACCTAGGACCACGAGATAGTGGTAGGTACACACATTTACTCCATAACTCCGACAGAATACTAAAATGTTTACAGGTATGTCCACCCTCGGTACCTCAAAGGGGTTACTAGAGCTGTACCACATCCCCGCAGACGCGTCTACGTCGTATACTTCTGGCAATGACTACTCTAATCCGGCGGGAATCGGCTTCGGTCACATTGGATTCACAGTACCAGATGTCCCTGAAGCACTGGAAAGGATCAAAAGCTTTGGCTACGAGGTCATCAAGCCGCTGGATGAGGCGAAAGAAGAGCAGATGGGTTTGCCTGCGGAGGCTGTAGAAGGGAAACACGGGACAGTACCAGACGGCTACAAGCACGTTTTCAAACAGCTCGTTTTCGTGAAGGATCCGGATGTAAGTGGACGCCAACCAGTGTAAAGAAATGTATGAGAGAAATGGTATGCTAACAGCTATTAGGGTTACTGGGTTGAGATCGTACCTCAGGTAGTCAAACCACTGAGTGGTTAGTGAGAGGATCCAAAAGTTTGTCAAGCTAGATCTCGCAAAGAAAACGCTATCCAACTCCAACTTTGATAACTGTTCTCGTCTTCCTCTTTCTCTCACGAAATAGCTCTCTACTTAGCTTAACGACCTTGCTGCCTTTCTACGAACACCATGTCAACGGAATCACAGAGAGCTTCAGACACATCTTCAGACACATCTTCACCCATAACTTCAGACACACCCGTCAAAGTACTAAGACTAGGTGTCGACGGGTCTAAGTCCTAACAGCCATTCGATTTATACCACTACTGACAGCATCCCAGATTCATTTCCTCGCCTCTCATCAAAGTTCTCGTTAGGCCTGAGTCTCAGCGTTCAGAACTGTTTGTTCACCAGTCCATCATAACGTCGCGATCCAAGTTCTTCGCCAACGCGCTTAGTGGCAGATGGAACAACTCTGACGCGAAGACTATCAATCTTTACGATCTAAACCCTGAGCTGAGATCAGAAGATGTTGAGCACTATTTGGAAGCCGTCTATACGAATCGCATCACGCTCAAGGATGACTCGAGCGTTCTTGAACGTATATGTCACGTATACGTGATAGCTGAATTGCTGCTCGATCTACACACTCGTAATCTGGCAACTCAGGCACTGTATGAGCAGATCTCCTTCCGTGAATCTTATGGGTACGTTGTTCACACAAACCCTGGCCCAGAGTGTATAAAGATTATCTACGAAGGTACAGTAGCTGGGGATCTAATGAGGGAGCTACTTGTTCATAGTTGGTGCGGTCTCGGACGCCATGGTTTACTTCAGTGCGATGATTTGCCCAAACGGTTCTTGAGTGAGCTAGCGACGGCTGCGTTGAAGGAGGAACACGGACCGTTGTTGTATCATTTGGACACATACCTCGAAGACAATTCATAAGCGCTTAGGGTGGTGATCGACCCCTCTCGGTCTTTGAGGTCCATGGAGGGACGGATGTCGTCATAGATGTTAGAAGGAATGTGAAAAAGCAACACCTCAACCAAAGTTCTCGACTGGCAGACAGTGTATGATCTTCACAATCATGCTGCAGGCGTGTTCAAGGCCCCGAGCAGAATGTCGGTATACCAACCATATCGACTTGAGATGAGACGATAAGCGTCAAACCAGCGGTACTGGGCGGAACGTGAAGAGACGCTAAGTCAGGTACCCGCCGCCGCTAGCTACCAGTGCGACTAAAAGGACCCTGCATCATCCCGCAACCTCTTAGATCAATACAGTTGAGTATGAGAACGATATCAATGCTCGAAAATAATATATTTTTCGTAGTTGCTACGGCCAGAACACGTACACGACTCGCGAGACATAGCGTCAGTATGCATGTGACACCCAGGATCCGGTTTTCCGTAAGCGAAAACGATCATTGCAAGGGTGCCAACCGGAGTTTCAGATCTGGGGAGTCGAGGTCGCTCCCTGGAGCATGTCTCCCTAACGGCCTCGCCCTACATGCTGTACGTTTCGTGAGATCCTTACGATCGCTCGTTAACCTCTGTAGTCCAAACACTGACTGGCGTTAGTGGACCGTCCCCGCGAGCGTTAGTCGCGCGTGCGATGCGAGTGAGTCGTCTTGGGGGAAAGGGGGTGGTAGTGGTTACGGCGCAATATGACGTCCCCCAAGACAAAATTCCAGGCTTGTAAAAGCCAATCCTCAGCCGCCAGACTGCATTGGGCCACGGCCGTTTCCAAGTCATAAAGACATGTTTATCGGGAATTGCCCTGGGGTTTGCGTTCCCCATCCTCAATTCCGTGGCCGCTATGGATTTACAGAGGTTGAAGACGCGTATCGCGCGCGCCAGAGGTGCCGGCGCGACATCTTCAGGCTCCGGCACGGGCGAGCTGCCTCCACAACAGTCTCAGGCACCCCACGATAACTCCAGCACGCATGCTGTTAAGGAAGGAATTCAGAGCGCCGAACCTGGGACGAATGCGCAGGACTTTGGAGCAGCCGCGGACCAACCAACACAACAACCTGTCATCGAGCCGCCTACCTCGTTAGAGTCATCCATCGATGCTGGCCAACATGTCCCCAAGCCCACCAGGGCAACCGATCCCTCGTCGCATGTCACGTACAGGTATGCTCTAAGCACGCAAATGAGGAGAGTGCGATGCTGACCTTTGTCAAGTACTCTTGCCGCGCAACGAGCAAGAAGCAGCTCCGCGCCGACCAAACCCCAGCAATACCCACGACGACCGCAAGTCGGCCGTCAAGCCAGTATCGGCATACGGCGTATGCCCTCATCCAACGCCCTAAGACAATCCGCACAGCAACCACAGGGTTCTATAATAAGAGCGAGCACGCCCTTGCCTGCGCTGGACGAGGAGGCAGAGCTGGGACAATTTTCCTCCGCCAACGGGAGCCAGAGTACCCTCAACAATCCAGAGCCGGACAGAAGTCGACTACGGAAGGTCAAGAGCGCGATACAGACTAGAATACCCTTCTGGGGCACGAAGGAAGAGGAGAAGTCGCCGACGACAAGCGCTCATGCTCCTGCAGCGGAAGACGACATGTCGTCCAACTACACCTCAGGCATGGTCGATGTGCTTGACACCATCGACCCTGAGGTCGCGACGCTTACATCCTTGACGAACATGCAGAACTCGCTATTCATTCCGAACCTACCATGGCTGAACCGCCGGCCCACTTACAACCTAAAGCGACGGAAGAGCGAGACCGACAGTCTGGAAGCGATCGAGCGCATACTGGAACCCGCTCGTGCTGCTCAGGCGGAGGCGGAGGCAGAAGCTCAGGCGGCCCAGGCGGCTCCCAGATTCCAGCGCTCGGCGACTGAGACCACGACGGCCACCATGATGACGATAGATTCGCAGCTTACTGAGTCGCGCTTCGCTGTTCTTCCTGAGGATACTGACTTGTCTGGGTGGAGCGTCGAAGACAAGAAAGAGGTGAACGATCACGTACGGCACATGCTCCACTCAAGACGCTCCAAGATGAAGCGCTCTCTCAAAGGATTCGGCATGTATGTCAGGAGACGTAAGTATCTGTACCGCTATATATCATCAACTGTTACTGACAGTCCACAGCACTTGGCTTCCTAGTCACCCTCTACGCCTTCCTCATCACCGCATTCGGCTTGGCCTGGGTGCTCTTCCTCATCGGCTGGGCTAATGTCGGTGGACAGCAGATCTACGTCGTCCACGTCATCGACAGTGTCCTTGTTGCTCTCTTCGCTGTTGTAGGAGACGGCCTAGCTCCCTTCCGCTGTGTCGACACATACCACATGATCTACATTGCTCACTACCACCATTTCACATGGTCTCGTCGTAAGAAGGACATGCTTCCCGACCTCACCGATCATAATGACCTCCCTGCCGAACACGCTCCCGTATCTGGACCACGCGCTATAGACCCAGCCGACCCCGAGAAGCAGTGGGAATTCACCGTGTTGACGCCAAAGCAGCAAGAGAAGCTCGAATACCACCAAGCCAAATTCTGCAAATCGCACTCCTTTTACAAGCCCCACGAGACGGAGACCCATTACGCCTTCCCTCTCCGCTTCCTTGTCGCTATCGTCGTACTTCTAGACTGCCACTCGCTACTCCAGATCTCCCTCGGCGCGTGCACATGGGGTATCTACTACAAAGTTCGTCCCTTTGCTATCACGACTGTCATCCTGTGTTGCTCCATCGCCTGCAATGCTACAGCCGGCTTATTAATTTGGTTGGGCGACAAGAGGACGAGGAAGAAGGACGTCGTAGAACGCATGAACAGGCAAGAATTGACTGGAGAAGCCATCAAAGAAGTGGAAAAGAAGAAGCAGAAGGAAAAGGAAAAGGAAAGCGAGGCCGAGTCTAGTGGTGCAGACGAAGGCAGGGAAAGGGAAAGAAGGAGAATCAGTCTGGATGCTTTCAGACCGGGCAAGAATGCGGAGAAGGAAAAGGAGAAGAAGCAGCAGAGCGAGAGTGCATACCCTTGAAAGGGAGTAATGGTGTTGCATAGTGCCTGACGAGCATGTTGCTGGCATTTTCATCCTGCATTTTTTTTTCTTGGAAGCGTTCAAGCGTTTATATACCTATGTAGCGATGTGGTTATGTTGGACTTACCTAATTACGCATTTTTTTCTTCTTCGCAGTCTGTACTTTTGGAGTGAGGGGTAATGTTCGAGTTCCTTTGCTGTTGTGGCGTTTACTGTCAACGCTGCTCAGGCAGAAACGTCGCCTGCATCTAGTATCGTATCTGCACTCCAAATGTGAGCGCGAGTGCGGATCTAAAAGGTTTAGTTCTGCAGTCTAGATGAATCCCCACTGGTAAGCATTTTTCCCAGTTAGGTCAATGCAAGGCTTTCGAGGAACTAATGGTTCTAGATCAGTTCTATGAGTATCATTGCCACATGGTGGATAGAAAATCCGTAATACCAAAAGGAACAAGGGCGAGCACCGTAGACTATAATGAGTGAAAAACAAAACATGGAACGTGGAGAGTGATTCAAGCCCATCACACCGTAATGCTTTGTCAATTGTCTTGTATTACTTGAACGCAACCAGAACGGACGCTTCTATATCGTGTCGGCACCGCCGTTCTGCGATGACCATTGTGTCCTCCAATTCCTTCTCCCCCAGTCACAACTCGTGGTAATCTTGCTCCTCCGTCTTCTACATCCTCTCATGGGTATAACTCTCTAGCAGCCCTCGATCTGCTCAACACCAGCGGTGGTGCCCTTGACACACATGCCATGGTTCTGACGGACGGCAACTGCTATTTCTTGTTAGTCATCGCTTTTAAACATCGGTCTGTGTATGGGAAGAGAACATACCCTCGTTGGCGACAGGTGCAGCCATGGCGAAAGCGGCCATGGAGACGATGGCAGCGATGACAGCGGAGAACTTCATTTTGAAATAGTGTTTAGGTGATTATTGAACTCGGAGAGTAGACGTAGAAGAAGTGTAGAAGGTAGTTGTAAACGTGGTAAAGTCGCCCGGCGACAAAGAGTGAATGTATAGAAAGGTTGGAAAACAAGAAGATTGACTTGAAGAAGTTGACTTGATGGTGAGCTTGAAGTAAGGAAAGCGTCTACTAGCCTGAGGATACTTGCAACTTATAGCCTGCCAGCCACGGCGCATCTGACATACAGGCACACCGCCGTCGTCGTCATCAGGCGCCGTTGTCAATCACAAAGTCATCCTGGTACCTTACTTTGTGCCTCGCGCTGAGAAGGCTGAAACCGGAGTCTAGACTTTCCTGCCTGTTTCTTGGTACTGTATTAGCGAAAGGAGTACGATCTGCTCCATAGCAACGGCGGGGAGTGGAGCGGTCTGGTTCTGCGGGAAGGGCACGGCCGGGGATGAGGTGTGTTGAAGTGTGTCAAAAATGTCGGAGAGATGTCGATGCTTTCCCAAAGAACGGGAGACGCGCGGCTTCTGTACCCAGATCCTTATGGGGTATGACGATGATGCAATGGAATATGTAGTGTCGGCTTGGTTTCGATTATGTAGAATTGCCTTCCGTGCTAGTCCACGTGAGCAGACTTCGGTATCGTCCAAGAAAGCATTCAACCTGCTCTCACATTCATCCTTCTCCTTTGGTGAGTAGACTCGTTAAGACACTGTAGTTCCGTATAAGCACCGTGATGCAGAGCGGTTGGAGTGAGATGAAACGGTACTCAAACTCAGCCGAAACTCGGAAGAGCACTTCCCTTGGCAACGATCTCAGAGATCACAATGCGATGCGAGCAGTCGCCCAGTACCATCTGTTGACCTGCGCTCTTTCCAAAACGTCGATACGCGTAAGCCTGGGGCAGAACTTGTCGTTGGTGCAATGATGGTCGTTCGCCCGTGACTGTCGCGACCTCGGGATTACTGAACGGGTCAGCTGGCGCTAGCCGTTTGTGGACACTTCGCTTCGCCGCGGACTTCAGACATATCTTGAGGATTGCCCTCTGACAATAACATGGCGCTTCTGCGACTTTTAACTATTAGCTTCACGTAGTTCGAGAGACGAGGCTCCATTGTTGGTACGTAAGACCGCTCATTTTGACTATCCGCGCTTCGTGGACGGCATATTTGATCCCTGGTATTCTTCGCAGTTTCCTCGTCTCGTCTCTGGATTCTATCAAGTTCCGAGTGTTACAATATCGATATTGTACAGCTGTACACAGTTTTTTACTACAGTGGAAGCTTTTGCTGGTCAAGTACAAGACATGCTCCTTCCGTCCCCAGAAAACGCGACTTCCCAGCGCTATCGTGATTCGATTCTACCTAGGTATCTAGCATCATCGATGCGTAACTGCCTCTGATGAAAGTTTCGGTGTCTTAATGGAAAGGTTCAGACGCTGCAAGTGACAAGAGGGTGAGGAAAGAGCGAAGAGCTCACATCTTCGAGGTAGTGAAAGCGGGCGAGGTCACGCTTGCCTTCTGTCAAGACGGCACTGGAGCCCAGCGAGAAGCCGTCCATAGCCGTCATAAGTGGTGAGAGCGCGTCATGCTGAAATTCGGAAGCGGAGGTGAAGGTGAGAGCTGATTGTAGACGATCGCGCCTTCCCAGTCAACAACTCCTACCCTTCTGTTCGACAGTCGCCCCGCACAATCTCACCTAACTGGCAATCACGACCCACAGAAACTATGGATATTTTCGTATCTCAGCTCCCGGGGCTCTCTGTCGCTACGCATCTATCGAGAGAGCTAGCGAAGGACGACGACGAGAATATGCCCGACAACAAAAGCTGGCGCTTGGGACACAGCAAGCAGCCAAAGAAGCCTCCGAGAACATCTACCCCGCTCAAGATTGACGTCGACACTCCTGTAGGCACCGATGATTCGAGCGATCGTCGGCTTCAACTTACCTGGCGGAAGACACGGCAGAGCAGCAGACCACAGACTCCTGTAGGCGGTGCGCACACCACGCCTGTCGCCGAAGACGCAGATGACGCACCAAGCGAACGTTCAGATACCCCAGCCCTACGTCGAGACTCGAAGCCCAAGCTCGCTCGCTACACGTCGCTCTTCGCCAACTTCAAAGAGACAGCCAAGGAGCCCGAGTTCGCGTTTTCTGCGCCATGGGGTGAAGATGCACCAGCGCCCTTCCAGACCTACATAGATCCGCTCGACGTCGTAACATCTGTCCGATCGCATATGATAACAGCTTCCTGGCCGATACCTATGGAGCATAACAGCGGCCTCTTCCGTGTGTTTGAGGACTATCGCAAGGTACGAGAGCAGAAGGAGTGTCTCAGTACAATGCTGGAGGAGACACTCAAAGATTGGAGAAAGGCCGAGGAGCACTGGACACGCTCAAGAGATCGTTACGGTGCGGAGATACGGCGCTTAGAGCTACTCATAGCTCGTGGGGCCAGTGGCATGACTGGGTGAGTACCTAGGTAGTGTTCAATCTTTTGCTCTTCTTTTACTAACAGAAAGAAGACTCATACAGGCTCGTCAAGACAGTATTGTGCGTCGTCATAGGAAGACCATCTCGCACGACAGCTTCCCGCCGAAATACGACTTCTTCTCACACGCGCAACTTGACCAGGAGATCAAGTTAATGAGCCAGAGAGGTGAGTCTTTAGGTGTACTGTGTACTTCTCGTTGCCGCATACATAAGTCTCTCGTGTGACCACTCTACCGCCGATAGTACCGCGAAGATATTCTCGGTATACTATCGTGGTGGCGGCGAAATACGTTTGCTTACTGTCCTCTCCCGAACCAAACCATCTCACACACCTTGCGTACGTTAGCTGACCTTGTGCAGCGCTTCTGAACCGGCCGTCGTCCCCCTCTGGAAAGATGGCCGTCCTGTCAACGCAGTTCACGAACGACATGGAAGAGTTGCCTGTAGGCAATCCACCGCAGACTAGCAAGAATCTTACATTGTCGCGCAAAGTCCAGAGCGAGCTCAATCTCGTTGCCATTCAGAAGACGAGGCCCTCTCGATCTTTCACTAGTTCGGTCGCTTCTGGCTTCTCGGGAGGATCTGGCGACCCTTTGCCTGACGAGATGACGATTCTGGAGCACACCGGCATGGAGCCAGCCACCGAATGCGAAGCTCTTGTCGCTCTTCGGGCACTAGGCACAATTGTCGCAAGACGTCGAGGTCTAGAGGTGAACAGTTTCAATCATGGTCTCATGATGTTGTTCTCGCAGACCAGATCGGCAGAGAAGTTGACGGCACATGTCGAAGAGAATGATACGCAGACCCCACGTCAAAAAACCAGCTCTGACAATGGAACATACGAGTATTTCGACCAAAGCCTTGCACCGCGGAACACCCTCCGAAAATTCCAGTCGCAGCCCCAACTCAACACAAACCAAAAGCATCGCCGACAGTTCTCTTTCGAGCCTGGGGCTGACCAGCTTGAAGCACTCACGGAGGAATTGAAAGCGCTTGATGGAGAAGCCAATGAGAGTGGTTCTGATGATTCAGACACCCCCCTTCTCATGCGTACTGGGCGCCCGGCGCTTGATACGCGATCAATCAGATCGACTTCATCGTCCCAAACTCTGGGTGCGGACTTGGGCAAGCATTCAAAGATTCCCAGCCCTGTCCAATCCTTGGGTCGTAGCCGTCGAGCAGATTCCGCTTCGAGCATCCAGTCGGTCTATGCCAGGCCTCAGGACAGTCGCCGTGGGTCCAGCTCAAGTGTTATTACGGCATTCCGCGAAAATTCGATCGGAAGCATGCGACCGGAGCTTCAGGGCAGGAACAGTTCTATCAACAGCCTGCGTATGCCAGACTCTCCGTCGGCATTGAGGAACCAACATAGTGGAACAGGACTGCGTAACACGATCACGGCTATTGCAGTAGCGAGGGCTGCAAGTGATGCAAGTCAATCATCGTCACCGGTCAGCTCAAGGTAGTCCGAGGCTTTCGCTTCCGCGAGTGAACAATTCACAAGGTTCGGTAAGGCCGGGCGATGATGTTCTGAAGAAAACGTCATCGGTTTGATGAATGGAGGTCTGATATACTCGTGATCGAGATCTTAGAGTTATGTTGGGCAAATCGGGCAGCGATTGGTGTTTCATGCCGGTTACTCAGCGCGTCGGTTTGAGTTTGATTCGACTGTCAGACATGGTGCGGTACCACGCATTCTAATCGCCAACGTCAGAAAGGATAATTGATTCACTATGAATTGTCCCGACCGGAGCGTTCACACCGTTACAACAGATGGTGGGGTTATGCTAAATCCCGTATGCTTGAAAGAGAATAATTCGACAGTTATTATCAAGTGCGTCCGTCACAGCTTTGTGATGATGGAGTTTGTGTCAGTCTAAGATTGCAGTGCTTTTCACGTAATAACCAAAATTAGTCGCGTCAATTAGCGAGATGACAGCCTATGGCTAAACTGGCAGCTCACATCAGACGACGCAACTGCTGCTGCTCCCGCAAAGCGCTGTCACAATGACAAGGCGGCGTCGAGAGATGAACCTATCCGGACGCGGTTGTACGGAGGTGACCTCACTCTAGAATGTTTATGGCCAATGCATCGCTCAGGAGGTACGGCTATTGACACCACGCCAGAGCACTGCGCTACTCGGCTGGACTCTGAACATGTTCGAATCTAATCGCAACATCTAGTCATGAACAAGGCCTTTCCAGCTCCTTCCATTCTGCAAGCCTACGCGTCGTTCGCTATCTACTCTGTTCTGAGGCGTGATCAGCAAGGTGTGGCGTTGAGTGTGGCGAGTGCGAAGATGTGCCACAGTCGGGCGATCATTGCCGAGTTGACTGAAAGGTTTCTGCCACCTGATAATGCGCGAGGCGTGTTATTCGTCGAGAGTTCCCGTTGTCGATCACCGTCTGTAACTGTTGCCACACTTATTTTTACACAAGGATCGCTGCGTCAGTGGAATCCTCCGTTGGACCTACCGGACGAGGCTTCCCCAGCAGTGCGATTGGCCGTGGAGGACTAGCATTCCATGCAACAGCCAGCAGTGCGGTTGGTGTAACTGCATAAGGCAGTGACGTTCGCTCTTGTGGCTGCAATGCGTTTACGGCTCCAGATGCAAAGCCCAAGCGCCTGGCGATGACGAAAGCCGTTGATGGTTCAGTCGGTGGATAGAAACGCGTTCGGGATAACGCCCGCTAAGCACTCCTTAATCTCGGCCTGTCAGGTAGTGAAATAACGTTAAGAATTAAGTCTTCCGAGTAAGCGCAAGCGACACAGGGCCAACGGGCGTCAGTGGGATTGGCCTGGGCGATAGACTTTGACGAATTGGCGGGGTGGCATCCTCGTCTCTGATCCGGCGCTCGAACGCAGGGGAAGGCGGCCGGCAGTAGACTGGAATGGTAGGGCGAGCAGCGGCAGAGACGTCTGCCGCGTGGAATACAGGAGCGCGACCAGGGCTTTGCAGTCTCGGGACACAAGTGGAAACGGGAGCTGGCCGGCATATGTCATTTCGCATTGAGGCGCCAACGCACACCGTAGGCGCCGCAACAGTCTCTGGTGACAAAGGGGGCATAGTGTGCGAGCAGCGTCTGTCGCGACGAGCAAATTGCGGGCAGGGCACGGAATACTCATCAAGCCACTGGAGCCGCGCACGAGCGCCTCGCACTGGTGTAGCAACTGGAGTGGATTCGAGAAACATCGGGCTGGGTCCGCGCGATCCAGCATCCATGGGCGGATGTGCGCTTGGAGTGCGGGATGGCGACAGATGCAGCGACTATCAGCTCCCCATGCGGCCGTGAGGGCTTCTGGCCGGCTCGCGTCTGCCGTAGGGTTGTGGCTGTGCAGGCCGGGCGGTGGGTGATCAGTCTGGCAGCACGTCGCGCACAGAGTAGGGCGGCGGACCAAAGCCGCCTAGGGCCATGCAAAACCGTAGCGTTAGAGCAGCAGGGACCGTGTGCCTAGACCCGACGCTCCACCCATGCCCACGCGCGGCCCTCTTGCAATTCCGTCAGGCCCTGTGGATGCTCTGAGAGCTAGCTGCTAGCTAAAAGACGTCTGACCACCGGCCCTGGACATGTGTGGCTTGACCCCAAAGGCTCGTCTTTCTCGTGGCAGCTGTTCTCCGTATCTCATAACCCAGGGCCGCCGCACGCCTTGCTGCTCAGTCTCCGACCATTTCCCACCGACCCGCCAGATGCAATCGCAAGTGCTCATCACCTAACTCCGCGAGTGCGTCCGATGCCATGTTTCGAAATAGGTACGTCGTCCCGCCCGCGCCCAAGCCCGCATGTGATTTGCGCGCGTCGCGTTGCATGTCATCAAGTACATACTGACTTGCGCAGACTCAACAGCCAGAAACCCGACGGAAAGCTCCTCGAGGACTTCAAGGCCACGTTCCCCCATCTGCAGCAGCGTTCGCACTCGATTGCTGGGCCGCCCGGCCACACGCTCGCAGATGCGCTTGATGTCGCGCACCCCTCCCGGTACGTCTTTCCGAGATCCCCCCATCCCATGTCACTCGGCACCATCACCAACGTCAACAACGCCGACGCCCAATTTGCACCTGCACCCAACATTTTGCTAACTCCATGTTTTCCAGCCACCTCGACCATGAGGACATCAAGGACCAGGACCCCACTCCGCGCGGGAACAATGAGCCGTGGAGGTTCACTCCGTCACTGCTCGACCCCAACAGCTTCGCATTCACCTCTTTCGCAAACCAACCGCCGGGCTACTACACCCCGACGCCCGGCGGCACCAACACGCTCTACCACAGCCAGGCCGGCGACCTCCACACGCCCGGCTTCAGTTTTGGCCTAGGAACTCCCCTCTCGCTTCCCACTTCGGAAGGTGCGCTGCACGCTGGCCAGGTCGCACCTGCCAACCATCTCCATGGCTTCAATCCCCACGCTCTGGGGTCGCATCACTTCCAGAATGTCAATCCCTTTGGCATGCAGCCGCAGCATTCCCAATCATTTGCTCCGCACCAGTTCACGCACCAGCCTTCTGCATTCGACCAGGGCAACATGACGCAAACCCACCAGGACTCGTCCATGGACAACATGGTTCCCGAAGTCGAGATGCAAGAGCAGTCGCCTCTGATCGGATACGCACCCCATTCCTACGACGGCATGGCGGCTGCAGTCGCACCAGCACCCCCTCCACCCAATCAAAAGTCGGTCACCCCATCTGCATCACGCCATCATCATACTGACTCTTCCAGTTTCCGCTACCATGTTACTCTGAATGCTCCAACGGCCATGATCAAGCAATCAGACGAAGTCCCTGTGACCTACCTGAACAAGGGACAGGCCTATTCCATCTCCCTGGTCGACACGGCGCCTACGCAAGCACCGTCTCCATCGACCAAGTACAGGACTTTCATCCGCATTTCGTTCGAAGACGAACAGCAGCGCCAGCGACCAGCATCCTGCTGGCAACTGTGGAAGGAGGGCCGCGGAACCAACGAGGCCCACCAGCGTGGTGGGCGGCTTCAAGCAGTTGAGTTTGTGGACCCCAGCCAAGTCAGCGGCGGTGAGATCCAAGGACGACCCAGGGTTGAACTCGAGTCTTCCTCGTTCGATGGCTTCGTGGTCACCTGGACACCAACCCACAACTCCTCACCCGAGTGCTCCTTGGCCGTGCGTTTCAACTTTCTCTCCACCGATTTCAGCCATTCCAAGGGCGTCAAAGGCATTCCCGTCCGGCTATGCGCGAAGACCGAAATGGTCACAGAAGCCACTGGATCGTCGCCCCAAAAGCCAGATGGTGAGCTCTGCTACTGCAAAGTCAAGCTCTTCCGCGACCACGGTGCCGAGAGGAAGCTCTCCAACGATGTTGCCCACGTCAAGAAGACCATCGACAAGCTCAAGCAGCAGATCGCACAGGTTGAGTCTGGCATGAAGGACTTTGGCAAGCGGAAACGCAGTGGATCAATCTCTAAGGGCAGTATGAGCCAACGGCCCGGGAAGGTACCGAAACACAAGAGGACCTGGTCCATGTCTTCGACGAGCGACAACCAAGGAGGCCGCGCACCCGCCGAAGAAGACCTTCACATCAAGCTCGCCTCGCTCCAAGACATGTTCAGCTCTACCAGGCCTGTCAGTGTCTTGTACCTCAAGGGCGAGGACCAGGACGATCCAGATCTCCACCCAGTGATCCTCGGCGCTACTCCTCAAGAACTCTCCAAGCTCGACACCAATGTAGACGCGCCTATGTGGGAGGCTCCCGAGTCGCAGACAGCAGCATCGTCTGTTGTGTCGCCAACCCCCAGCTCTCAGTCTCTCCATTCCGAGAAGCGCCGGACTACCTCCTTCCAGCGCCCGGCGCCCTACCAGCCACCATCGCGTATGTCCTCCAATGAATGGCGCAGCATGCCACAGACGGCCACAGGTGATCTCAAAGGGATGCATGGCGTCCAAGGCGGCGCAGACGTTCCAACCAAGGTTCAACGGCCATATTCTGATGACCACGCACTGTCTGGTTGGATTGAAGCCCTTGGGGTTGATCAAACCTACCAACCGCCTCCAGAGCCGATGCTGAAGCCCGTCGCCTGCTTCTTCGTTCAACCGCGGCTCGCTGGTCGGCAACCCGACGACAACTACTTCCGCGCAGTCTACCTGATGGAGCGTACTGTAAAGGAGCTTGTGGCAAGCATCGCAATGAAGATCAAGATCGAGCCAACGAAGGTTACACGGACTATCCGCATTAACCAGAAGGGTCTGCAAATTTTGATGGACGACGATGCCGTCAACAGAATACCCGAGCAACAGGATATGACTGCCGAGTTCCACGAGATTGGTACGCCGCCGGTGCATGCCATGAAGCGCGAATGGGACGCGGGTCCTACCGACATTCAAGTTGATGGCGACATCAGC